CCTTGTACGCACTCTATTATTGAGAACATTCCATAGGCTGCTGAGAAGAATGTATTAAGTGGAATTTTCTGTAGGTTTCTGTTAGGTCTATTTGATTTTTCTTTTATTATGTAATTTAGCTCCAACATATCTCTGTTTAGTTTATTTTTGGATGATCTATCTATTGGTGAGAGTCAGATATTAAATTTACCCACTATTACTATGCTGTGGTGAATCCATGTTTTAATTCTAATAATTGGTTCTTTTATGAAATCATGTACCCGTGTATTCGGTCTGTGTATTTTGTGATTGTAATTACCTACTGATAGAATTTTGCTATAAGGACCCTGAGGTATCCTCCTTACATCTCTGACTAGTTTCTTTAGACATTAGAATAGCTACACCTGGTTGTTTTTCAGTTTTGTTTGCTTGGAAAACATTTTTAAAAACCCCTTTGCCTTAAGGAAGTGTTCGTCTTTGATGGTGAGGTGTATTTTTTGAAGGTAACAAAAAGATGAATCCTCTATTCTAATACAGTTTGTTAGTCTGTGTCTTTTGAGTATACAATTGAGATCAATAATCTTCCGTTATTATTGAATGATGTGTGTTAATTCATTTTGTTGATTTGGTGGTATTTTCTTAGATTTCTTTTGATTACCTGCCCTGGCATTGCTTATTTGTTTCTTATGACTTCTGAGGTTGTGTTTATTCTTTTTTTCAAATTGAAATGTTGTTCTAATATCCTCTCTAGAGCTAGCATTCCAGTCATAAATTCCTTAATTTTGATTTTGCCATGGAAAATTTTGTTTCTTCTTTAATTTAATAGTATTTCTGGGTATAATAATTTGTGTTGACAGTTGTGATCATTCAAGAGTTTGAGTATATTTTCTAGGCCTTTCTGGTTTGAAATGTTTCTGTTAAAAACTAACTGTTGTTTTAATAAACATGCCTTTAAATGTGACTTGTTTTTCTTTCTTGCATCTTTCAGTGGTTTTTTTTGTTTTTGTTTTTTGTTTGTTTGTTTGTTTGTTTGTTTGTTTGTTTGTTTTTGAGACAAGGTTTCTCTGGGTAGCCTTGGCTGTCCTGGACTTTCTTTGTAGACCAAGCTGGCCTCATACTCACAGATATCTGCCTGCTTCTGCCTCCCAGAGTGCTGGGATTACAGGCATTCAGCACCATGCCTGGTTCAATACCCTTTCTTTATCATCTGTTTTTAATCTTTTAACTATAATCAACACCTTTTCTTTATCTTCCATTTTTAATCTTTAACTATAATATGTGTATTCTTGTCTGTTTGTTGCTTTTAGGCCTTTTGTACCTAGATGGACATCTCTTTGTCTTGGTTGGGCAGTTTTCTTCTATGATTTTGCTAAATATATTCTCTATGCCTTCAGTGTGGTATTCTCCTTCTCTGCCCATATTTGGAGGCTAGGTCTTTCCCTGGCATCTCAAAGCTCTTCCATGTTCCATTCATATGTATTTTATAAAGTCTCATTGATTTTTGCTAAATGATCCAATTCTTCTGCTTTGTCTGCTATCTGTCACTAAGTCCGTTTTTGGCATGATACATTTTGTTGGTGAGGCTTTCCATTAACATGTTTAATTGGATTTTTGAATTTTTTTTTTATTTCCAGCATATTTTCAGTTTGGGTTTTCTTTAAAATTGTGAACTATTTTTATGTCTTAGATTAACTTTCTTAATACAGGCACCTCTTTCCTTTTGTCTTCTTTGAGTTGTTTACCATTCTGATAATCATTCTTTTGAATTCTTTGTCTGAAAGCATCTACATTTATTTTAAACAGGAGTTATTGCTGTGGGATTTGTGTTTTGGAGATAGCATGTAATTTTGTTTTTTTGTGTGTGTGTGTGTGTGTGTGTGTGTGTCTTGTTTTTGTTTCTGCATTAGAATGTGCACATCTGAGGTTACTGTGTTGGTTATTTTTTTTCTTTTGTTTTTGTTCAACTTATTTTTGTTATTTCAAAGAGGTTTTTACAATGTTTTCTGGACAAGGATAATTCCTAGTAGGGTTGGATCTTGATTTCCTGTTTAAGTGATCTTTGGGAATACAACTCTCTCTAGGTTTGGTTAAAGAATCTTGAGCAAGTTTTCCTTGGCAGTGTGGATTGATCCTGAGTTTTAAGGCCTCAGGAAAACTAGAGGGTCCGAGTAAGGCAGCTGACAGGGCTCTGGGATTCTGGATCATGTGTGCTAATTGGAGGATCTCTGTTGGGTATTGAGCTGGGATCTGGTGAGTGCCAGGGAGTGGGATTCAGGCTGAGAGGAAGTAGCTGTTCCTGGCAAGCAGCCTTAGGACTTGGTGACTTGAATGGAAGAAAGCAAGAAGGAAGAGCAGTGGTAGCCTATTTAGGTTAGTAGTACATGAGGTGGCTACAGGGGCCCTGGTAGTTAGCTGTTTTATTATTTTTAATTATACACCTCTATGTTTGTGTATGTGCACATGGATTCATATGCCCTCGGAGGCTAGATGTGTCCAGTCTCCCTGGAGCTGGAGTGAATTGTAAGCAACCTGAAGGGTTTTCTGGGAACTGAACTCAGGTGTTCTACATGAACATCTTAACTGCTGAGCCATTGGCCCAGCACTATCAGAGATTCTTAATGATATATTTTCAAGTGTGAGGTTGTGGTGGTTTAAATTTTATTTTAAATGATTTATCAAAAGGAAACAAAAAAGTAAAAACCTGTGTAAATGCATGTAGATATACAATATGCACAAATAGAGACTTTTATCCCTTTGTGGTGGCTAAGTATAAAACCTAGGACCTCACACATGCTAAGCAAATGTTCTGCCACTGAGCTATACCCCTCAGTAGACCTAAATACATTAAAGAAGACAACACTTTATAAATAGACATTGAGTATATATGGTAGGATCATAATTGTGCCATTTTTAATATTTCTTTTGTTTTTATTGTAAAAACTGAATTTCATAATGGTATTTTCATATTTTGTATAATATGTTTTGATCATATGCACCTCCTAAGATGCCTCTTCTCCTACTACTCCCATTTCTCTTACTAACTCCCTCTTTTTATGTCACATCCATTGTAGTATTCTCTAAAGTCTTCTGTTTATGAAAATTTAAGGAATTACAAATGATGAATGAATAAGAAAAAATGAGTTCATAACATAAAATTTATCTCTTTGCTACATGTTATACTACCAAGGTACTTTGCCTGTTGCTTGTAAGATTATTATGATTGTTTCATCAAGATGTATTTTTAAGATATAAAATTAGTTTGTCAGAGAATGTATTTTTAAGATATAAAACTAGTTTGTCAGAGGATATGCACATTGAAATTTTTATCACCTATTTCCATATTGTTTTTTGGATAGATTTATAGTCTGATTAACTTGTAGTTACAGCAACAGTACCTGAAAGGGTCTATTTCTTTACAACTTCACTTGTACTAGACAATCTTTTATTTATTTATATTTTTTTAAATGAGAATCTTGTTAGCAATATCAATGTAACTCATTGTTTTGATTTGCATTTGATTACTTTATTTTAACATTTTCAGTAATTACTATACATCTTACTTTGTTTCTATGAATAAAGTTTTTAAGATTTTTGATGCATTTTGAAAATATTATTTTCAAAAAGAGCCATTTCTTTTTTCTGTTTTTTTTGTTTTTTAATTTTTTATTAATTACACTTTATTCATTTTGTATACCCCCATAAGCCCCTCCCTCCTCCCCTCCCGATCCCATCCTCCCTCCCCTTTCTGCATGCATGCCACTCCCCAAGTCCACTGATAGGGGAGGTTCTCCTCTCCTTTCTGATCTTAGTCTATCAGTTCTCATCAAAAGTGGCCGAATTATCCTCTACCGTGGCCTGGTAGGGCTGCTCCCCTCTCAGGGGGAGGTGATCAAAGAGCAGGCCAATCAGATTATGTCAGAGGCAGTCCCTCTTCCCATTACTATGTAACCCACTTGGACACTGAACTGCCATGGGCTACATCTGTGCAGGGGTTCTAGGTTATCTCCATGAATAGTCCTTGGTTGGAGTATGAGTCTCTGGGAAGTTCCCTGTGTTCAAATTATCTTGTTCTGTTGCTCTCCTTGTGGAGTTCCTGTCCTCTCCAGCTCTTACTATTTCCCACATCTTACATAAAATTCCATTCACTCTGCCATTTCTTTTTGAAGTTTAAATTCTCTTTATAGGTTGGTGAAAGGGATAGGCCCCATCTCAACCATTTTCAATGCAGTGATGAAAATTTATAAAATATTTGCTTATTTGATAAGTCAAAAATATTTAGGTACTTTCATTTATACTTCTTTGGTTACCAGTATGCTGAAAAATAAAAAAAATATGAAAAATACTTCTGTGCATTGTTTGACGGTGTTGTGTGTCTATTTACAGTTACAGCCTTAAGACAGGCTGCACTTAAGTGGTAGAGCTCTTGTCTAGCATGAATCAAGCCCCACATTTATTCTCCAGAACTGTAAAAATTAATAAATGATTCAAAAGAAGTTACAGCATAAGTAAACTTCATGTACACATATACATCTATGACATATGTATACCCTCACATACACACATATATATTAAGTAGAAAAATGGTCATAATCAGAGCTATTCAGAGATTAAATGGCCAGGTAGTAAGTCTCCCCTTCACTGAAGTGTCTTAAGCAGAGGTAGTATATAAGAGTAAATTAATGTACGTTTTCCAAGAAGGAATATTCCCAAGAGGTATTGAAATCTCTATCAGTATTGAGGTCATATGATTTAAGAAAACTGAAAGTTTATCATGTACTGACTCAGTTTTTGTAACAACTAGTGGAAGAGCCAGAAAGCAAACTGTGGGCTCTTGATTATTAATTCTATTATTGCATGTTCCTTAGCCAGGAATATTCTCAGTATCAGATTTCATTACTGCCGTCACTGTTGCCCTAAAATGTCTGTAATTTATAGACATCTATAGTTTATAATTTTTATTATATTCTTTGCTCTAATCATCCTCTAGCCAAAGTGAATAATGACTTCCTATTTCCTTGTAGGTACATCTCATCCCAAAGTAGCCAAGCCATTAGAAAAAGTAAAATACCGCTGGACAGTTCCTCCTCATGCTGGGCCCACTGCTCAAGATCCTGCTTGCCTGACCTGGATGTACTTCTCTGCTGCAGATCCTGCAAGAGATACAAATTCTGGCCTGGTGGGCCCTCTGCTGGTGTGCAAGGCTGGGGCTTTGGGTGCAGATGGCAAGCAGGTATTTCTGGGGAGTCTGGGTAGGAAGACTTGCTGAAGAGAAATAAATCTGAGTTTCTAGGTATGTGTCAAGAATGGGGCTGGATCCTGGAGGTAAGGGGATAAAAGAAAGATAAATCAATTATATCATAAGTTAATAGTTGGTGACCTCCTGTTCTTATGTATATATTATTTTACATATAAACACACATCTTCTATAGCTTTTGATTCTTCTTTTTCCTGACCTTCAATCATTATTCTCCTTCCTACCTCAGTGACCCATAAAATTGTTCCTAATCCATAAACCTGCTTTAATATTTGTTTGCTACTTTTATTTTAAATTTAGCCCATCATTTCTAACTGTGTAACCTTGGGCAAATTACTTAAATTCTCTTTAACTCAACTTCCTCATCTGTAAAGAAAAGGTTAACAAAGGAAGAAGTCATTTTTTGATTTCTTTAAAGAATCATAAAATTAATACACATAAAGTGCTTACTATAGAGTCTGGCATATAGTATGCACCCAGTAAGCATTAGCTGTAAAAATAATAAGTAATTGTAATAAATGTCTAGTTGTATTTCCTAATTTTTCTTCATAAACCCTCACTGCTTCTGTGGCTACTTTCCCTTCAATCCTTTACCCAGGTGACTTTCTTTTGTTTCCTTAATCCACCCCCAGTGCTTCTTCTCTGCTTCCTTTCATACATTACCAGCCTCTTGTCTTGTTCCTCTACTCTGACCCTATATCCTCTACGATTTTAAGTTTTCCTGATGAAAGCCTGACTAGCAACAACTGTAGCTCTGATCATGAGTTATGGGCCTGGCTCTGAATCTGAACAGGAAAATGAGAAAGAATTAGGAATCTTTGGGTCTACAACTACGTAATATTGAATTGTTGAAACTATTGTTATTCCTCCCTCTATTTTTCCCACTGGGACTACAGAAAGGAGTGGATAAGGAATTTTTTCTCCTCTTCACTGTGTTTGATGAGAACAAGAGCTGGTACAACAATGCTAATCAAGCAGCTGGTATGTTGGATTCCCGCCTGCTCTCAGAGGATGTAGAGGGATTCCAAGACTCCAATCAAATGCATGGTATGGGGTATAGTTTTGCTTTTGACTATAACTTTAAGGCCTCAAGGGAAATGTAACTCTAACCATTCTCATAAGCAATTTCTAAAAACATTCAGCTCATTGATCATCTCTGTCTAATTGAGAAGCTAGATTGAGGAATACAGCATGCAACAACAGTTCTGTTTTTTTTTTTTTTTAATTTATTACTACTGTCTTTCTTCCCCACCCCTTCTCTCTCTCTGCTGCATGTGTGTAGATATACATAGAGGCTAGAAAAGGCTGTCCAATCACATGGAGCTGGAGGTGTTTGTGATCCACTATTGTGGTTACTGAGAATTGAACTCAGGTCCTTGGAAGAGCAACAAGAGCTCGATATTATTGAGATTGTCACCACAATTCAACAGCAGCTGTTCTTACACTGACTTCTTATGACATGATTTGTATTACACAGCATGAGAGGCACTCGAACATAGTGTTGGGAGATGAAAATTGTGTACAAGTGATATTCTACAGGGTGTGACAGAGTAAGCTGGGATGATGTTCTTTCATGCTTTTTCTTTGTTGTTCTAGTAATAGAGTCCATCATCCTTTTGCCTGCTGGGCAAATGTTCTATCACTGAGCTACAGCTCCAACCTCCATCTAGTCTTGTCTTCCTCTACCTTTCTGCCATTTCTCGTACTTCAGCAAGGTGTGGCCATTTTTCTTCCCCCAACCATAATTTATACTTGTTTCATATTTTTGCATTGTTATGCCATTTGACTGAAATATACATTCTTACATGTATGCCTTCAGCCTTTGGAAATTATGCCCATTTTCTAAGATTCTACTCAAAAGTACCTCACCAATGTTTCTACTTCTGACCACTCAAATCCAGGGTGGTGGTTTTCTTTTCTACATATCATTGCACTTTAGTAATTTTAAGAACATATGTTCCATATATTCTTCAACATTGTAATTATTTATACATAGCTCTTCACTTCTTCTAGAGTATGTTGATTTTCTATGTATTGTCTAAGTTATTTAATTATTAGGGTCTAAGACATAGTAAGTGTAAATTGAATTACTGAACTACCTAATCAATGGACAGGTGGATGAAAGAATGAGTGAAAAAATAGTCCCCAGATTTCACTGAGCACACATAAAATTTCAATGAGATGTGACTAACACCCATGAAAATAATTATAGAACAATTCAGGCAGGCTACTAAATGTGTAGATGAGCCTTTTAAGTTCAAAAAAAAGCATTAATAAGGAACAATACATTTAGATGATTCACTGAAGAAGGGGATGCTTAAGCTGGAGTTGAAGACTGAATAGGGTTACAACAATGATAGTAGAGGTAGGGGAAGCAGTCCTGGGGTTATCAGTGTTGTCATCAGAACACATGGGATTGGTACATGGGAGCACAGAAAGGTTTCCCTATATTTGGGGGCAAATAGTAAGAGGACATAAAAATTTACCTGTTGCCTTATTTATCCTTGTTTTCCTTCCCAAGGTAGTCCATGATTATGAGAAAAGTAAGATACTCTCATGAGCCATGTCATTCCACTTTGAATTTGTTCAACTCTTAATAATAGGCAGTAATAGAGATAGAGAAAAGTGAGAGAGAGAGAGAGAGTGACAGAGACAGAGAGACAGAGACAGACAGAGAGGGAGAAAGAAAGAGAGGGAGAGAGAAAGAGATAGAGTGAGAAATAGAAAGAGATAGAAGGAGAGAGGGAGAGAGAGAGAGATATCTGCTTCATTAAAGGGTGATGCTGTTTGAGTTAGGACCTAATAGATGACTAGAAGATAAGCAGATTATGGAGAGTCAAGAATTGAATTCTGTTCTAGGGTTGAGAGGAAAGCATGTAAAAACTCAATATATACACTGTGAGTAAAATAGGTTTACCACTTTAAAGATACAGAGATGAATCTTCTAAGATAATGGTGTTGGGGTATGTGTGTGTAAATACTTTAGGTAGGGGTATCTGGAAGGAGGCTTTTTCATAAGAGTTCTAGGTGAGTAAATGTCTTCCATATTACCAGTGAAAATGAAGAGGAGGAGTTACTTGAATTTGAAATTTTGGGAAACACACATTTTAGAGGGTTGTAGAATTAGAACACTGAGGAGAAAGAACAATCAAAGACATTGCAAGAAAATTAGAAAGTGTAGCATAGAAGAAAAGTTGGAAAACAAGGGTAAACAGGAGAGTTTAAGGTGAGTTGAAGTAGTAGCAAATAGTTAATTGTTTTCAGTGTGGTAAAGGAGAGGAAAGATGAAACCAAAGAAGCTAGTTGTACTCACATCCCAAAGAAGTTGTATGAGTAGAACTTGACTACCATAACAGGAAACAGGAGTTTAGGATGGTCTGGAATTTCTGATTATGTGAAACCAAAGTAAAGGGTTGATATGCTGCTGACAATGATCTGAGTAGTCTGATCTCATCTCTCTATCTTTTGTCTTGTGTTTTTGTTTTCCAGCTATTAATGGCTTTCTGTTCTCTAACCTGCCCAGGCTGGACATGTGCAAAGGTGATACAGTGGCCTGGCACCTGCTTGGCCTGGGCACAGAGACTGACGTACATGGTGTCACGTTTGAGGGCAACACTGTACAACTTCAGGGCATGAGGAAAGGTGGAGCCATGCTCTTTCCTCACACCTTTGTGATGGCCATCATGCAGCCTGACAGTCCTGGTAAGCGTTTTAACAGCAGGCACAAGGTTTTGGTAAGCAGGGGGCCAACAATGAAAAGTGCTAACATGGGAGGAAGAAATGCTAGTGAGAAGAAAGAGGTATGTTCCAGGGGCTTGGGACATTTTTTAAACCACTTTTTATTGCTTCAATGTATTGTCCATGTTATGATTATTTGACGTTTTCTTCATTTGCAGAATGAGTACAAGGTGGAGAAAGCTCTGTTCTAGAGCAAGAGGAGGGAAACTCAGGCACTGCTCAGCTGCTTCAGTGCAGAAATGACTGAGAGTACATTACATAGCTCTTAGGCTATGTAGAGATTAGAGTCCTTATATTTGGAAGATCAATGGAATGCACATCTGTTTTTAATTCTGATATTCTGTGAAGATTTTTGCAATCCCTTCTCTCTCTTCTCTGTGTGTGTGTGTTTACTGAAAAATGTATTTGTGAAGAAAATAAAAGCCTAGAGAAAGTTATGTTTTGTTCAACTACATGCTTTAGTAATGACTAAGATTTGAGGAACATTTGTGGCCTTCCTTTTGGTTGTAATAAGGAACAGAGGAAATGTAAAACAATATGAAATTGAAGTCATGCTTTGGGCATGAAAAGGAAGGACTAGAAATCTGAAGTTCTGGAATTAAGTGCCTACTTTGTACTAACTACAAGCATCACATGAGCAATCTACTTTACTTGACTTATGTTTAACCATTTCAGATCAGAAATTAAAACCTCAGAAGGATCTTTTCTAACATGCTAATCACGTTGCTTTAATCATGTCCCTTATTATCTGTACAGAGTCAGCTTTCCCTCCTTCTTTTTTCCTTCCTTCTTCTTCACTTCTTTTCTTCTCTACATTTCCTCTCTTTTCTTCTCCATTCTTTGAAACAGTAATTCCTCACTGCTTAATTTTTTTCCCCTCAGATTCCAATAATCTCAAGCATTTTATAATGTTCTGGCATTTTCTTCACTCCCTAGGGTGCATTCTTTTTCAAGCCAGTAGGTGGCAAGAGTGTTTGTAAGAAAGTTTACGCATCACTGCAGTCCCTACTGAATTTTTTTTTTATTTTTTAACTTATGTTTTAGTTGTGTAAATTCTATTTATATTCGGAATATAATTCCTTAGTAGAGTAATTCTTTGTAACAATTTAATAATTTCTTTCTGGACGTAAACTTTACAAACACATATTTTATTGTTTCCCATCTACCTAGAACATTTTCTTGGCCACAGAGAGCTGTTAGCAAATTATAAGCATCAGCTAATACAGTAGAAAGAAGGAAGAGGAGTATGCACTTTCAATGCACAAGGATGGGAAAACCCTAAATAAGAAAGATCATATTCTTGAGCTTTAATCCCAAAGCCAAACTCCTATTTTTATTCTCCTTTCTGAAAAATCAGCCAGGATACCCAACAACATCTATATACTTTTCTATGGTTCACTCTAAGTTCAAAGGCAAGCAATTATTTTTTATTGTTATGCTATTGACCAAAAATGGTAGCTCTAGAACATTCTGGGTAGGCACAGTGCTATGTATTTGTAGTCCTGGTAACTTCAGTGGATGAGACAGTAGGATTGCCTATATTTAGAATTTGGGGACCAGCCTGAACAATAGGATAAGATCCCATTTCAAAAAAAAAAAAAAAACCACAACATTTTGGTGGGAAGCATGGAGGGAAATATAGTAGGTTTCCACCAGTAAAAACTTAAAATGTCACTATTGGCTAAGATTCCTGAATTTTGTTACTAGTGAAAACAGAAGTCTTTTTTTTTTTCTTTTACCTTTACACAGTTTTAAAAACTATTTTTGCCAAAGAAATATCAAGTCATAGAATATTAGAATTGGTAAGGCTCAGGGCTGGAGAAACGGCTCAGAGGTTAAGAGCACTGCCTGCTCTTCCAGAGGTCCTGAGTTCAATTCCCAGCACCCACATGGTGACTCCTAACTGTCTATAATGAGATCTGGTGCCCTCTTCTGGCATAGAGGCATGTATGCACATGCCTCTATGCACAATGCTGTATACATGATAAATAAATAAATCTTAAAAAAAATATAAAAGGAAAAATCTAAAACAAACAAGTATTGGTAAGGTTCCTTTTAAATTACTTACGTTCACTTATTTTACTAAAAGATGCAAAGAACCTGAAAGAGATAAATGACTTGCTCAGACTGGAGGTACTGACTGTAAATTTTTGGCTTTTTCTGTTTCATCTTCTATCAAATTCTATTAATTCTCACTCCTGGATGATACTTTAAATCTGAACTTTTCATCTGTCCCCTGGGTACTTGTTCTGTCATTAAGAAGAAGAAGAGTGGCTAATGTGAATAATTCTCCAAAATCAAAGAAATGTAATGAACAATCTGGATCAGAATCTGGCTTTGCAATTCTGTGGAGACTAGTATGGATGGGCAGTAATGAAAACACAGTTGTGCTTGTACAGCTCTGTAAATGCTTTCTACACATCATAGGCACAGTCTTGAATGTCATGTCTTCAGTCCAAGTACCTTAGAAAGCTAAGATAGGAAAATGAATGATCTGAGCCAGAAAGTTTGACAATGCCCTGAGCAATATAATAAGACTCCTCCATAAAACTCCATGTCAGTTCTATACTTATATTTAAAAAAAGAGAAAACACGAAATCAGATATTAAAGAATTTTAAAAATATGGAAAGAATTCATATGCAGGCCTATTGGTAATTGTTGTCATTTCTTTTGCTGTATTTGTTCATTTATGTATTTATATTTTAATAGGCTTATGTTACTTTTAATTAAAAATCATCTTGTGTTTTAAAATATCACCCTGACTAGTACGCTTCAGCTGTTCTTACTGCAATACTAATACTAGATCTTTACTACCAGAGAAAGTGTCAGATAAAAGGTTAAAGTCTGAATATATTATGTTCCTTTAAACTCAAGTTAGATATTTAATAGCACAGGTAATTTTATTTTTTTTACTGCTTGGACACTCATTAGGGTTTCTTTGCCCCTTTTTGTCATTGGAGCTCTTTCATTGTTCATTATTTCCATCCTTCCTTCTCTTTCCCATTTGTTTTGTGCAGTTGTGAAGTTGGTTTTTCTTTGTTTTTTCTGTTGTATGCGTGTGAATCTGTGCCTGCTTGAATGTTGTCCTGTGAAACTGCTCCTGTGTCTGTGTTTCTCTGTGTGTGCTTGTCCCTATCAAAGGGCTTTTGCTCTATGTTTATTGAACAACACAGAAAGTATCGCATGGAGAAGGAATGATGATTCTGTACAGAAATCTTTAAAAAAATTTTTAAAAGAAATTAAGTCCAGACTCCAACAGACCTAGGTAGCAAACAGTATTATAAACATCATTGTTTCTCAAGCAATATCTGAATGTGGCGTTCAATTTATGGTAGATATACTTTTTTATTTTTATTATTTTCAATTTTTTTATTAATTACACTTTATTCACTTTGTATCCCCCCATAAGCCCTTCCCTCCTCCCGTCCAAATCCCATCCTCCCTCCCACTTTTTCACGCATGCCCCTCCCCAATCCAGTGATAGGGGAGGTCCTCCTCTCCTTCCTTCTGATCTTAGTCTATCAGATCTCATTAGGAGTGGCTGCATTATCATTTTCTGTGGCCTGGTAAGGCTGCTCACCCCTCAGGGGAAGGTCATCAAAGAACAGGCCAATCAATCACTTCATGTCAGAGGCAGTCCCTCTTCCCATTACTATGTAACCCACTTGGACACTAAACTGCCATGGGCTACATCTGTGCAGGGGTTCTAGGTTATCTACATGCATGATACGTGCTTGGAGTATGAATGTCTGGGAAGACCCCTGTGTTCAAATTTTCTGGTTCTGTTGCTCTCCTTGTGGAGTTCCTGTCCTTCTCCAGATCTTACTATTTCCCACTTCTTACATAAGATTCCATGCACTCTGCCCAACAGTTGGCCATAAGTCTCAGTATCTGCTTTGATAGTCTGCAGGGCAGAGCCTTTCAGAGGCCCTCTGTGACAGGTTCCTAGCTTGTTTCCTGTTTTCTTCTTCTTCTGATGTCCTTCCTCTTTGCCTATTGGGATGGGGATTGAGCATTTTAGTCAGCATCCTCTCTCTTGATTAGTTTCCTTAGATGTACAGATTTTAGTAGGTTTATCCTATATTACGTGTCTATATGAATGAGTATATACCGTGTGTGTCTTTCTGCTTCTGGGACAGCTCACTCAAGATGATCCCTTCTAGGTCCCACCATTTACCTGCAAATTTCATGATTTCCTTATTTTTCATTGCTGAGTAATATTCCATTGTGAAGATGTACCACAATTTCTGCATCCATTCTTCAGTTGAGGGGCATATGGGCTGTTTCCAGCTTCTGGCTATTAAAAATAAAGCTGCTACAAACATGGTTGAGCAAATGTCCTTATTATGTACTAGAGCCTCTTTTGGATATATGGCTGTATCTTTTTTTTTTTTTTTGAGTTTCTTTTTTTTTTTATTAATTGATAGAGAAGTGGTTAGTAATTGATATTTAATGTAAAAAGGCTGAACACTTGATTTTTTAAAATTATGAAACATGGCAAAGTTATTTACTCCTCTCTTTTTTTCAATTTTAAATGCAGATTTATTTTTTTTCTTTTTTTTTTTAATTTTATTTTTCTTTTTAGTTACATTTTGTTAACTCTGTGTCCCAGCTGTATCCCGCTCCCTCATTCCCTCCCCAAACCCACACTCCCTCCCTGGTCTCCTCCCTGCCCCTTTCCAAGTCCACTGATAGGGGAGGACCTCCTCCCCTTTCATTTGACCCTGTTTTATCTTAAGGAAGCACTATTCTTAGTTGTCTGAGAAAGCGCCAGATTGACTTCCAGAGTGCTTGTGCAAGTTTACATTCCCACCAACAGTGGAGGAGGGTTTCCCTTTCTCCACAACCTTTCCAGCATGTGTTATCACTTGAGTTTTTTATCTTGGCCATTCTGACGGGTGTAAGGTGAAATCTCAGGGTCATTTTGATTTGCATTTCCCTAATGGCTAATGACGCTGAGCAT